AAACCATAGGCAGTAAATTTTTTTTCCTAAACTCAGATAAATGTTTTGAGTTGTTACCAAGAATGTAGTAAAAAAATGGAGCAGAGAAAGGGTAATCTCAAGAAATCTCAAAACAAGAAAACCCAATCAAAACCAACAAACCAAAACACAACAAAAAACCCCAACAAAAACCACCACCAAAAAACCAAAACCAAATCAAGAAATCAGATCAATTTAGGTGAACATTACCAGAAAGGACTCTTCAGGAGAATCTCCATAACTCTTTCAGGTCACAGGTTCACCAGCAGACAAACCTAGCAATCCTTCTTTTACACATTTAGAGATTAAAATACTTCACATTATCCAACATCCATGAAGCATCAATCTTCTGTGAATTTATCTGTCATGAAGCTAGAGAATGTATGAGATCCCAACACATTCCTGATACTGATCTAAATAATTCTGACTGCATACACAGGCAGACAGACTGCATAAGTAGATAAACTGCTTAAAATGTTAACATGTTTTATCACTTTTAAACTCATCAGGAATTCAGCATACTACTTCATACACAAAGGCTCCAACTACAAAGACCCACAATGATTTAATCAGTGCTACCAAGTTATTAAGAGCAACTAATCATGCCAAATCAGGCAAGTTTGAAGATGATGAATATTTATTAGGTTTTGTTATGTAGTTTATTTTGAAGAAATTCTAAACTCACGCTACAATTAAAGCATTTTCAGAACCTCAGTCTGCAGCTTTTTGCCAAGTCTATAATTGAGTCAGAAAATTCCCTCCTAATGATGGTGGCCAGGGCAGACACTTGCCTTGCTCTTGCTCCCTAAAGAATCCAGCTTCTACAACTTCTAGATCACAGCAGTAAAACTTGGTCTGCCACAGGCTTCACCACCAACATGACAGCAGAAACACTGCTGTGCAACACTGGTGTACAGGAATTACCAGTAGCATTAATGAGACAACACCACGTGTGAACCTGGCAAAAACAAGGGCCCTGGTGGCTTCACATGTAAGATCAGGCAATTGGCCTGAGAAGTAAAATGACATGTGCTTTCAACAGTCTTGTGATAGTCAAATGAGATGGGATATACAATAAAGACACCATAAAGCTGATTTATTGCCCTAAATCTACGTTCCTTAACTTGACCACTCCAGTTTCCAAAGCACTGGGTAAACAAGTCAAACAAAAAGGCAGGATTTTATACAGTCTGATTTTACACACAGCAATAAAGGACAACAAGTTTTTTTAAAATCTCTACATCACTTAAGCTTACTTCTTCTACCTCCTTGAAAATTGCTCCAAACAATTAATCCAAACACAACCTCCAAGGTAAACAAGCTTTAACCACGTTCACCGTAAATAAAACAATTAAAATTAGCCTTTTCCTAGCAATTCTTCGCTTCAATTTTTTCGAGGTTGCTGAAAACTACGGAAATTCCAAAAGGGTTTTGAAGCCTTTGATTATTTGAAAGATTGAGGATTTTTAAACTTACGTAAAATCATCTGGTTTAAATTTTTAGACGTCATCATAATATAGGATCTTCAGAATTTTCACAAATGTGGCTTTTATCATTATTTTCATCAGTCTCAAACTGAGTGTTAAGAACAAGACTGATCAGACTAGTTTCTGTGCTACATGACCAGCTGCTTGAAAATCTATTTTACATATTTGCTTCAGAAATGTACTCATTAATTCAGTTAATTGTTTTATGCCTTGTATACTTGCAAACCAGTGGGTTCTCAGTCTCTTCCTCCCTCCCTAACATTTTTCCTCCATAACCCTACAGTTGCAGGGCTTGGTCCACAACCCCAGTACCCAGTGGTGGTGTCTGGTGCGTGGCCCTGCACACACAGTGGAAAACACCAAACTGGATGCTATAGGAGAGACCTCTGTGCTTTATTCTAACAGTATCTTGATGTGTTATTTCATAGATTTTATCTACAAGTAGCACATCAGATTGCCCAAAACTCTTTGTAAAGCCAACTCATTTAATACTTTATGCAACCATCTGTCTTATACCCTCAAAAAGAAAAATCTTGTGAGGTCTGACTTAAAAAAAAAAAAAGATGAGACTAAAACTTGTGCAAAACACCAAGAAATACATAGAAAGATGAGAGAACTGGCAAGAAAATCTGATCAACAACAACAGAGAGCACTTCAGAATTCTGAGTCATTAAAAGCACTGTAATACCACATTAAAAGCAATTGCTTATCTGACACTAGAGCTCTGACATAACCAACAAACCCATAACAACGAGCAGTTTACAGGAGTCAGGGATGTGTTTCAACAAAGGAAGCCCTGGCTATTCACCTATTTGGTGGTTTAGCTTTTACAGTTTTGGACAATTCAATTCTTGTTCTGCTAACCCTGTAAGTAAACTCTCGACGTTACAGCATTTTTTTCCATCTCAATTCTTCAGGCAAGCTGCAACTCATTCTAAAAAGAAGTTACAGAAGGTCAGTTCTTAATAGAAAGCAACTTTCAAACAAGCTCCATCAAAAATCACCTTATTATATACACAATATGCTACCTCATAAGCATATTTTATCAACTTATGGACATCACAGAAACTGAAAACAAAGATGTGAATTGACAGACCCTGCACATGCAAACACATAACCAGATGCAAAACCAACTAAAGCAATTTCTCTAGATTTTTATTACAAACTTTCTGATTTCTATCTTGTTAAAAGATCAGAATACCAATAAAAGCATCTAATACAATAGAATTAATATGTAAAAAATATCAACCCAGTATGCAATCTCTCAAACGGTCTGACAGTATTTTCAGTAAATGACTTCTACAATAACCTGCAATGAACCCCAGCTAGGGGTCTAATACCTTCCAGTTCAATGAAACACTGGAGATACTAAACAACTTGTCCCTTCCCTCTTTCTTCATGACCTAACAGGGTAGGGGAATCCCTCTGTATTCATGTGCAAAGTAAGTTATATGCTTGACAGTTCAATCAACTCCCAAAGGTATCATTTCATCCAATGGATTAAGACACATTTTACGCTGACTGAAGACAAGAAATGAGAAGGGGAGCAAAAAAGCACGCAAACGTGGATACACGAATCCTTCTAGGGACTTTCCAACTAGAACAGATCATTTCAATGCTGTACATGAGACAAAAAGGAGGTAAGAAGTTCTAACTGTGAAATTATCTTGCTGCTTGACATGCAGATGAAGGTTACAAATTTTATGAAAAGTTAAAGCTGAGAAAAGGTGAAAGCACGAACAAAATACAGAAACAGAACACGTAATTGAAAAAATACTTAATTTTCACATCTTAAAAAAATCATCACATGAAAGTACTATGCCTGCTCTCTTTTCATTATAATTTATGTAAATCCTAATTCACAATTAAAATTAAACAGATGATTAAATCATGCTGGTAGGTAGTATGAAAACATAACAGGCCTATTCACATATATGAAGTTAAGTCCAAATACTGCATATATTCACATGCTTAAAGAGGAGTAATCTAGAAGGAGAAACTAGAGCCCGAGAAAAGCATTGGCTCCGAATATGCGCTGTGGATTACCTTTACAATTCTGAAGCATAAATAGCAATAATGAACAATAACGGTGCATCCGAATTTTGACACGCAAGCACCGACAGTATGAGTCATCACAACTCACTTTTTTCCCCGGAAAGATACTACTTTTGACGTCTCTTGTGCAGTGTTAAAAATAGATTTGGCTACTAAGGTACAGTATTAATGAAAGAAAAAAACAACTTAGCCTTTGTCCCTTATTCAGCTCCCTTCCTGGAAAAACTTTGCCGAGTTGTTACGCAGTTTAATTTGCCCCTAAAAGTGAGCCATGCCAAGCCTCCCCCCGCTCCTCCCTCGATCGAGGTTTCTTCTCTCTCTCCACCGGAGCTGGTAACACTGGTAACACACACACACACAAAAACAAGCCCCGCACAATGCCAGTGACAGACGGCTCGTCACAAGCTGAAGAGGCCGCTCCCAGCAACTTTGGGTAACTGACAGCAGTTTCTTCTTAAAGAATTTAAACTTACTTCCTCCACACACACACAATTAAGGCTTAGGAAGTCATGGGAAGTACCGTGAAAATTCATGGGTTTTTTTCCGAGGGGGAAGGGAACAATAAAGTAAGCCCCCGGGCAAGGAAAGCCGCACGGCTGATGACCAACCTTGCTTTGTCAAGGGAGGTGCAGCTGCAGACACCGGAGCACGTCAGCCCGGGCGGCAGCGCAGGGCAGAGGGCAGGGCACAGGGCAGGACTCCGGCCTCCCCGGCACACCCGGCCCCGCCGCCCCCAGCTCGGCTGCCCGCGAAGGCTGCACCGCCAGCCCCGCTCCGCGGCCCGAGTCCCCCCGACTCCCCGCCCGCCACACAAGGTGCCCCCGCCCCGCCGCCGCCTCTTACACAACCCCGCGGGAGCTCCGCGGCCTCCCGGCCTCGGGTCACACGGCCCCGGGTCCCGCGGCCCTGCCCCGGCCCCACCACACTCGCACCGTACCCGAAAGAGCTGCGCCGCCGGCCCGGAGGGGAGAAGCGCGGGGCCGGGACGGCCCAGGGGCGCGCCCAGCCCGGCAGAGCCCGGCTCAGCACAGGGCACAGGCGCTGCCGCATAGCCCTGGCGGCCCCGCCGCCAGCACCGGCCTTGCCCGCCGCCCGGCCCGGCTCCGCTCGCTCAGCACGCGCCGGTCCCCGCCGCCATGTTCTCCGCCCGCCTCCCCCGCCGCCCGGCCAATCCCTCCCGGCGCCCGCGGGGTCCCGTCCGCCCTCCGCGCCCGGGCCTGGCGGGACCCGTACCTGGGGGTACCTGGGAGTGTCGGAGCTGCCTCTGCCGCCGGGAGGGCCGGGACTGCGGCTGGGGAGGGGGCCGGGGGCCTCTGGGAGGAGGCGGAGGCGGCGGAGGGGGTGGGTGGCTGGGCGGGGAGCCGGGGCGACACTCGGCACGGCGGGGGGGCCGCGCCCGGCGGAGGCGGACGGGGCTGCGGCGGGAAGGGCAGCGGGCCGGCCCCGGGCTGCGCCCGCCGAGGGAGCGGCCCGCCCGCGTCCCCGAGTCCGCGCTCCGCGTCCCTGCCGGCGAAAGCCAAGACAAAAGGTAATTAGACGCCTCGTAATTTGAGCACAGTGGGTGCAGCGCCGTCCTGAGCGGCAGAGATTTCGGGTGTCAAAATCTTCCCTTCCCCGGGGACAGTGCACCCTGCGGCAGCGCTCTCTCCTCGGGAGCTCCGCTGGAGCCCGCTGGCTGCCCTCACCTGCAGCCGAGCTCTGCGGCCCCTCCGCGCCGGGCGCTGCATTCGCCTCGCAGGCTGGGTGTACAGCTGTAAATGCTGGGTAAGATTGGTTGCCGTATATTTGATTTTCTAGGGAGATTTTTTTTTTTCTTGGTAGATTTCCTTGTAGGAAAATCGTGCATGGGGCTGGTTGCTGTAATTCCTTTGTAGGGGAAAAAAAACCCACACAAAAAACCCCACAACATGAAAACAAACAAACAAACAAAGAAACACAACAAAAAAATCCCCACCAAAACCAAACCAAAAAATCCCACCACCCCTCAAACCCCACTGTTTGAAGTTCTGGTAATGTGCTTTCTTCAGGTGTATCTATTTTACTATGTCTTATTTTTCAAAGCTAAGGGGGGAAAAAAAGAGACAAAAACATGCACAATATTTAATGACTGATTTTAGCTTCCCCAGTGCTTCCCTTTTATAAAAGGTGGTATCTTACAGAAGAAAATTCACAGAACCCTCCTGTCATAAAAAGGTAGAAAGATGGGCCAGATGAGTTACCTAAGGTTATTTTTGCACCCAAAGATGGAATTGAAGATGTAGCAGAAGTAGCTTTAAAATGCTTTGGTTTAAAGTACCTTTTTTTTTTTACTGTCAGCTTTGGTTAAATTTGTTGTTAAGATGTGGCCGCATACTACTTCATATGGTCAACAGGGAATCAACAAAATCTGTCAGGGAATGCTGGTTTCCAGTGAGGTCTGTGCTGCTATAGAGATGCTCTTACCCATACCTGAGCTACCCAGTTAAAACATTTGTGTCTGCATCAAGTACACCCACACTTCTGGCCTCTGTTTAGACACGGAACTGTCTCTCAAGTTAACTCATCCTGGTTGGAGCAAGGCGTTTGGTAGTTTTCACCTAAATCAACTGCTTGGATTTAGAACTGTGTGGGTGCCTAATTTTAACACAGTATGTTAACTACTGCAAAAATGTCCTCATGGGATTCTAGTTGGAGGCAGTCTGGGTTTTTTCCAGTTCCTAGTGTATATAAAAGTGAGGACCAAGCCGGACAAAAAGAGGACAGGATAAATGGTGAGCTCTTAATTCTGACTTCCGCCCTATTGCTGTTGCCGGTACATCAGAAAGGCTCATCCCTTGGTGTCTGACAGAAGGCACGCTGCCGGGTGAGTGCCTCTTCATGATCTGTCTCCTCCCTTTCTGAAGCAACTAGGAGATTAAGAGGTTGTGAATTGGAGCATTCTGTTAAATTGGATGTATGGTAGAAATGCTTCTGCCTTTATTGTTAACACATGCTATAGCCATGTTGTATCATTTACCATGTAGGGTGAAAACTATAGAAGTAAATAGTTTCAGGCAATTTATTCTTTTCTTCGGGTCCTGACAGAGAGTTTGCTAACCTAATGAAGCCAAGTGCATATGTTTAGCTAATGCTGGCCTATATTTAGCTGCTCTGGTAAATCCTGCCTTTTCCTGTAAGTCTTGCCTAGTATCCATAGGGGCAATCCTGGGAAAGCAACATAGACTGCACCTGCAAAACTGTGGTGGTCTTCTAATAGCTGGATCTAAACCAAGCGTGTCTGTAGTTGTGGTGATGAAAGATGGTGCCTCCTCATGCACCTATCGTAAGTATTGCAGCAGAGGTCTGCAGTGGAGGTCACACCTATTTTATCCACTCTAAGCTTCTTTAGTGGCTGTTCCATGGCACTGGTGTGTCGTGGTTTAACCCAGCTGGCAGCTAAGCACCATGCAGCTGCTTGCTCACCTCCCTCCCCTCCAACCCCAAGGGAACGGGGAGGAGAATCAAAAGTAAAGCTTGTAGGTTGAGATAAGAACAGTTTAATATTTGAAACTAAATTATAATAATAATGATAATAAAAAGACAAGTGACACACAATACAATTGCTCACCACCTGCTGACCAATGCCAGAACCTACCCCCAAACCCCAAACAGCCCCTTCTGGGGACCTCCCTCAATTTATATACTGGGCATGATGTTCTATGGTGTGGAATATCCCTTTGGCCAGTTCAGATCACCTGTCCTGGCTATGCTCCTTCACAGCTCTTTGTGCACCTCCTCACTGGCAGAGCATGAGACACAAGGAAGTCCTTGATTTAGGATAAACATGACTTAGCAACAACAAAGATGTGAGTGTGTAATGCACATTATTCTCATACTGAATCCTAAAGACAGCACTGCACCAGCTGCTGAGAAGAAATTAACTCTATTCCAGCCAAAGCAGGACACGCTGATGTTTATTCAGAGCAGGTTGGGTTCTTATAATCTGACCCTTCTCTATTTCAATTTATACTAGCCAAAATTAAAATCATCCACTATTTTGAATATCCATGTTTTAAAGATATTTTTAATAGGACACCATCAGCAAAAGTTAAAAGGACTTGCAGTAAAATTTGCTTCTCAGTCTAGTCCAGCAACTAAGATTTCTTCCCCATGAAACTTTAATTGCTCATAGACAGTTGGTGTTTTCTGCCTTCTTCATCAGCTCTAGTGGAAAAACAGGTGTTATCTAAAAGACCAAATGAGCCTAAATATAATTTAGAGTAAGTGTAGAAATTATTCAAATAGTCCCATGAAGAAGCCTTACAAAATAGCAATGTGGAGATCCCTCTTCAGGATATGTGACATAAATGTACAATGCAGAGAGAGAAAGTGATCTTCAAAGTAGGCAGGTTACAAATAATTTAAAATAAAACTAGTATTTTATACTTGTCTTGAGAGCTAAGAGACAGCAAGTGTAGAACTCTTAAGTACAGTCTTGATAGGCTTCTAATGGAAGCATGTTTTTGCCTAGATAAAATTCTGGACCAAATTCAAATTGTAATTGTATGTAATAGGGCTTTGTAGCAAACTGGCCTCAGGCTCAAAAAAAGCATAGCTTATGATTGTTATTTCCACTCCAAAATAAATAGTAGCAATTTCATGATGTGGCATATATGGAAAAAAATTGTCTATTGACTACTCTCAATCGAAAAATACTGAATGAATAAAATTTTAAGATATTAAAGGTAATGAGGCCAAGGAGACATTTCCTGTAGACTTCAGTCAGTCCTGTCAAGTCTGTATGTTTCCAACTTTCCCATTAATTGTTTCTTTTCCTGTTATGTAAAGGATATCTTCCAGCTGCACACCTTTAGTGAAAATAGGTAAGCCTATGGAAAATGACTAGCTTTAGTCTGAGCTAATTACACAAGTGCATACGTCCACCTACGTGTGGTGTTAATTTTTTATTATGGCAGCTATAAAAAGATGTAAAATGCTACAGTCTGTGTCGGACAGTGATCTGGCACACATGCCTAAAAAGAAAGATCTTTTATACTGTGTATTTTCCCTAGTTAGTTGAAATCAGTTCTGGTTTTAATCGTGCATTGAGTCCTTAATTTCAACAACAGTTACTTTATTGCGTTTTATCTTTTGTTTTTAACAGTGACATAATTATCCTGTTTGACTGAAGGAAAACCCTGTCCTCAGCTGAAAATATACCAGTACAGTGTGTGTGTGTGTAAGTCCTTATTGTTTAACTTTCTGTATGTAAACAATACAGAGTTTAGAATATTACTGGCCAACTGGACAGGCTGTTCAAAGACTAGAAATTGCTTTATGCTTATCTGAGGTGCAAGTCGATTACCCTTTAATGTGAATATGCAATTAATCAGCAAATTTTTGCTATGTCACTTATAGTGTTGAACAATATTATGCTTTCCACATGTTCAGTACAGTTGATACACTGTGTAGCATGTTGGTAATCAAAACAGGCGTTACTAAGCCTTAAAGAAGTCTCACCCAGCCTTATAATTTGTATTAATTATATCTCTCCATTATTATACCTTATATAACCTTTCTTCATTCTTAGCTAATCATGTTTTGTGTCAACAGTTTTACTATTTGTGAGGCCTCTGTACCTGTAATTACCCAGGTGTTCTGATACAACTCTTAGGAAAACAGTGTTTATTTTGTCTATAAATATCACCATAATTCAATGGCTTTTTGTTGGCAAGCTATAGTTAAAAATTGTCCTTTTTTATCCATATGTGGAGATTAGTAACTTCTACTGAAGTTGTTACATTGGCTGATGTATTAGTATATAATTTAATTTTCTGTAATGTTTTTGTCTCTCTTAAAAAAAATAAAAAAGATTTATCACAGATAATGTACATGCCTTCTTAAAGGTAATTCTCCCAACCACTGTTGAGACTAGCCTAAGTATTCTTGTATTTATTTTTATTGCTTGTGAAATGCTGTTACTCAGTTTATGTTTACAGTGTATTAGTATCTCTAGGTTCAACCTAGTCTAAGAAAATGTACAACCTATACTATAAATTGACCTCATAAAACAGGTCTACAGCTATTAAATAGTATCTTTTTTTTAAGCTAACTTGATTACCAAAAATACATATTTTTCACTTACCACAGCTAGAGCAAAAGTAGCTATGGGCCAAATTTAACTCCCAATAATTAAATAGATTCTTCTTGTTTAAATACATGTTTAAATGATGTGTTCTATGTTTGTGAGAGACGTGTTATATTTTGAGGAAAAATCTGACTTTAGTACCAGAAAAATAACAAAAAAGCAGAAGTTGGAAGAAAATATATCTTGAGTTCCAGTACTGTGTTCTTTTGTATGGCCCATTTAAAGGAGTACAGAGCGGAAGGTAAAGATTCAGATTCTTTGCATACCTGCATTCGAATTTTCAGTCTAGCAGTATCTACTACAAAGTTGTCTGTATGAATAATTTTTGTCCTTAGCATAGATGGAATACAAAAAAGCAAGTAAGAGTAAAGGTGGTCTCACTGTGTTTGCCATGGACATTGCTCTTATATTTATTTTCCCACTTGGTTAAATCCTTACTTAGCTGAAGCAAAATGTATTATTGTGATTTTTAGTGTTTCATTAAAGGGAAAAAGGTAGCAAGTCTTATTAACATGAAGCCACCAAAGTCGTTTTGGTTTGAAAGTTAAGCTCCAAGACTGTTAGAAAATTTGGGTTCCTTAGTTTCCTGTTGTGGTTTAACCCCAGCCAGCAGCCAAGCCCCACACTACCACTCGCTCACTCCCCCACCTGTGGGATAGGGGGCAGAATCAGAAGGGCAAAAGCTGGAAAACTCATGAGTTGAGATAAAGACAGTTAATTAGGGAAAGCAAAAGCTGCACACACAAGCAAAGCAAGGAATTAATTTACCACTTCCCATGGGCAGACAGGTGTTCAACCATCTCCAGGATAGCAGAGCCCCATCACACGTAACGGTGACTTGGGAACACAAACAGCATCACTCCCAAGGTCCCCTCCTTCTTCTCCCCACTTTATATACTGAGCATGATCCCATAGGATCTGGAATATCCCTTTGGTCAGTTGGAGTCACCTGTCCTGGCCATGTCTCCTCTCAACCTCCCATGCACTCCCAGCCTCCTCACAAACGTGGCAGCACAAAAAAGCCTTGACTCTGTGCAAGGCCTGCTCTGTATTATCAACCCTGTGTTCAGCACAAATCCAAAACATAGCCCCATACCAGTCACTGTGAAGAAAATTAACTCTACCCCAACAAAAAACCAGCACATCATGTATGTAAATTTTGCTTTGTTACAAGCTGTTTCTACAGAATCATTGCCTTATTTCTAGGTTTGAGGTCAAAAGGTTAAAAATTGATGTTGAAGGGCAGTAATTTATCTGGCAGTTACTCACTTGGAAATGCCTGTCCCTGCAAAGTAGTTTTCTTGTAATATATTCATATACTATACTTACTTTCAGATTGTATTGTTTTCAGTGGCATGCAAGCAGTAGGATCTTGTATGGGGCAAACAAAATACTTTCTCAGAAAGGCTTGAAATGAAAATTGTAATTAATCCTTATGAGGTTTTCATAGCTCTTGTCCTGTTTCATCATCAACCTACATTTACAGTGGCAGACCAAATTTCTTGAATGTTAATGCTTTCTGATCAATTTCTGCTCGCAGCAGAATAGGAATCCAGTGCTTCGTGTCCTTTTCTGTGAAAGTAATGTATTTCTCAGATCTTATTCTTTGTGCCTAATATAAGATTGATTGGCCCTGACATTGTTCTAACTCTTCAGATTAATGGTAGAGGAGCATAATGTAATGCTGCTTCATGTCACTGTCAGAAAAATTACTGCAAGCCGTAAAGGTTAGGATTTATTTGTTATTTATTTTAACAATTCATGGAGGAGGGAAATGTAAATTTCAAAGCAGCCAACTTAGGGAAAAAAAGTGTGGACACTTGCAAAATTATAGATAGGTAATCTGAATTTCAGGAACTGGGAAGGCCCTAGAAGAACAGCAAAACACTGTAGCACCATAGGCCATAATAGGTAGATGACAGTGTGACAGTCTGTAGGAGCCAGTACAGCTTTGTTGGAAAAAAAGTGTGTCAGATCAGTTGAATCTTCTGCAACATCTGCCTCTTCCCCTCTACCCAGAAGACCTGTTATCCTGTCATAGATCTCCACCTGTGTGAGTGGCTCACATGATCTAGTTTCAAAGCAAAAGGATGGATGTAATGCACCTGTGGTGCTTTGTCCTGGGCCTTTAATTACTTTCATCGTGATATAAGATTTTCCCACGAATTGATCAGGCAACACCCACCTGTAAACATATGGCAACTTAGAATTCAGTGATGTTGATGAGTTGTGCTGGAGACCAGCCTGAGATGAAGCGTGCCCAAGGGACAAAGGGTCTAGAGCAGAGCTCTGCAGGCATGGCCCAACTGGGCATGGGGTGTGCCTGGCTGTGGTTCTGCTGCAGGCACGTGGCAACCTGGGCTGGGGCACCACCGACGGAGGGCACACCAGGTGCCCTGCTGGGAACAGTGGACGCTGTCCTCCACCACGTAAATTAGAGATGGGATTCATTTTTTTAAGCAGATAAAGTAATGCTTCCACTCTACAGGCCATTTCCTAGGCACGCTCCTCCAATTTCGTCGTGATGTTTGAAGAAATTGTGGACTAACAGGAGAGCCAGCAGGGACAGAAGAGCGGAGGGCTTGACCTGCGAGGGAGGGCTACGTGGATGATGTGACTGTTGAAGACTGATGTGCGCAGCGAGGAGCTAGGCTGCCCTCACACCTGGGGCTGTCAGCTTCAGCGGAGGCGGGACGGGGCCGTACCGGCCCCTCGGGGTATCTGGGAGGAGGAGGAGAAGGAAAAGGTGCGAGCAGCGCAGCCGTGAACCCCACTGCGACATCTCCGCCCTGGCGGGGCGGGCCCCGCGTTTGAAATGCCGTCCCGTGGTGCCCCGCGGCCGCCGCTGATTGGCCGGGCCGGGCGCTGCGCGGTTCAAAGCGGCGGTGGCGCGCGCGGCACGTCCTGCTCCGGCAGCGCCTCCGGTCCCGGCATGGCTTCCTTCGGCTCCCAGGGCGGCGGCACCTCCAAGAAGGAGGAGAAGGGCAAGAACATCCAGGTGGTGGTGCGGTGCAGGTGAGTGCGGCGGCTCCCTGGGCGCGCGTTGCGGGCCGCCCGGGCGAGGACCCTGGTCGGTCTCTGCGGGGCTCGGGGACGCCGCGGGACGGGGGCGGCCGAGGCTGTGCCGAGGCGGCGTGCCCGGCGGTGGGTGTCGGCGTGCCCGGCGGTGGGTGTCGGCGTGCCCGGCGGGGGGTGTCGGCGTGCCCGGCGGGGGTGTCGGCGTGCCCGCGGTGGGTGTCGGCGTGCCCGGCGGGGGGTGTCGGCGTGCCCGCCGGGGGGTGTCGGCGTGCCCGCCGGGGGGTGCTGGGGTGCCCCCCCGGGCGTTGCTCAGCGCGGGAGGCGGCCCCGGGTGCCCGCGGGGATCGGCACTACCGCACATAACGCTGCTGCGGGCCACCTCTGACGGCTGGAAAAGGCCAAAAGCTGCAGTTCCCGAATTTAAGTCGTTGCACACTGCTGTGCAGGAAGCTTAAGAGCTAGGTCAGAGTTAGTTATTAGGACTGATGTTCAAAGCGCACAAAAACCCAAACTGAATTTTTACCTTCCGTGGGAAGCCACTACGCTTTAACAGCTAATGAAGTTGTTGCTACCCCGCTTCCTTGCATCCCTAACGTAATTTGATTGGTGCGGACTCTCCAGTCGAAAAAGCTATGGGATGGGGGGTCAACCGTTTAAGTAATAATGACCAACTATCTTTTTGATCATATAAATTTTTTTTTGTATTAATTGATAGATTTCAGGTACCATAAAATTAGGTTCTCGTTGTAATTTTGGGATGACTAAAGAATTGCTCAGTGATAGTAGATCTTAAATAATGTTAAAGCGTTGCTTGTTAAAGCTATGATACTCGTAATGTGTTAAGAATGGTGTTTGAAAAACCATTAGAAGTTGAGGGGGGGATGTTGAGCCAGAATTGCAAACATTAGCTTGCATATTATATTTTAATGCCTTTTGCAATCGTGTTCTCAAGCTTGTGAGTTCTACTTTTACAAATGCACAGTGAAAATAGACATTTAAAGCAGTGTTCCCTTATTTTTGCAATACAACTAAAAAGGTTCTGTAACAAATATTATTGAGTTGGTGAAAGTGTTGATGTGAGTCAAGGCTATTACAAAAGAATAAATTTATTGAAGCAATTGAGTTTGAAACAGTCAAGAGCAATCATTTTCTTTTTCATCTGATTAGTCTCTGTTGTTCTGGAATAGCTTTGCTATGTATTAGTGTATTTTTATTTTATATGATAGTAGCATCAGGGCTGTCCATGATGTAGTGTTCTGCTTTTGTTGCAATTTATAGTCTTAATTCCTATGTCAAGATTTAGTCTCTAACCCCTAAAAACTTTCTTTCCCACCCTTGCTCTTGCCCTTTGTAGAGCTTTTCTTTTTTTAATAGCTTCGGTGTACTTGAGCTAGTAAATGTTTTTTCCACTCTTCCTTTCTCTTCTTCATCAAGTTAGGTTCTTCTTATAGATATGTAAGTAGATGTAGTTGTGTTTGTTTGTTTCCAAATTTGTTTCCAAAAACTGATCTGTCTGAGCATATAAAAAAACCTTTTCAAGCACCACGTTTACTGTGCTTTGGTAAAACATGAATTTGGAAACTCAAAATGCATGCATTAGCATTGTTAATATGTGTGATAGTCCTTCATACCGAAAGGGATGAACCTGTGATTGAATGTCACCATGGCATACCAGGCTGCTGCTTGTCTAGTGGGATGATGACAATGTGGACGTGTGCTTCAGCCTTGCTAAATTATTCCTCTTATCATAGCTGTGGGCTATCCTACCTCCTGCATTGTACTGGCTCACTGTTATATTGTTAAACAGCAGAATATATTCACTATTTAGCCTTCTGTTATTTTAAAAGTCACAAAACCGAAACTGTAATTTGCTTCTGCTAACAAGATTTTAGTGATCATCTGTTGTCACCAGTCAGTCTTGCGCCAAAGTGGCTGGTGGTCTGTTTAGAATCTGACACTTCAGTCTCAGTTCTATGTTGAGGAAGAATTATTAACCACAAGGGTCAGGAAACTCGAGATGCCATGTGCTTGTGGGGTTTTGTGTTTTGTTTTGTTTTTTCTTTAACATAACTTAGAGAGCACCTGAAGTGTCTCTGTTAAAATATTTTAAAGTCAGTCAGTGCAGTAGTGCTAATAAATGAGTAATAAAATGAGATTTTATGCTATTAGTTTTCAGCCTACAGTCATCTCCATGCTTTAACGAGAAATTGTTGCAAATGTCCCTTCAAGGAAAATGGTGCATCAGGTTTGAATTAACTTAGTGGTGAAACAAAATGCATACCGTAAAGTTCCAAAAAATTTTTATCGCCTCTATTAAACCTTTTCACTATGATGAGTTTTAATTAATGGGAACTTCCCCTCAAAATCTGTTTTGTCTGTCTTATTGAATTCTGTTCAAATACATCAGCATTATAAAGGTTCTGATATTGCTGTTTTCTGTTCTGCGATTAGTAGGGTGTGTTGGAATTTCTGGTGCTTCAGAGTCTCACATCATTGGCATGAGATGTAGGCATTGTTGCCTGTGTAAATGAAAAACAAAAGAGGGAATTTTAAAAGTTAGTTTGATTTACTATTGCACTAACTTGCATGTATAAGTGTTTTCCTCTTCCAAATGCTCTTATTTGTAGAACTGTTTGGTATGATGAATCTTCTACCCCCTTGCAGTTGAAGAACATGTTCTAATGCACCTTAGCTACGTGTGCATCTAAATGACCTTAAAAGTGGTTATGGACCTGTTAAAAATAGATGTAATAAAGAGCTATGGACACTTGATTTGCCCCTCAGTGACAGAAGGAAAGGGAGGGTCTTTAAACTGCCAAACGGTTGCATTTTTTTCTTAATTATTAAATAAACTAAGTTAAAAACTCTTTTCCTTTTACCCAGTTATACTATTCTAGATCTTTAAACTGAATGACGTTACTGCCTCATCAGTTTGTGTTCTTGTTAGCAATGATATCAATCCAATTGTCTTAACTCCTGTCTTTTTAGGCCTTTTAATGCCTCAGAACTTAAAGCAACCTCCCATCCTGTTGTAGACTGCGATCAAGCAAGAAAGGAAGTTAGTGTCCGCACTGGAGGAGTGACAGATAAGACATCAAAGAAGACTTACACATTTGATATGGTTGGTAACTGCTTTGTCAACTCGGGCACTTCTAGAAACAAGCTAGTACATTTCTCTAATAGGGTCTCATTACTGTACAGTGTGATGCTATACATCACTGTACAGATAAATGGGATGTGTTATCTTTGTGTCAATAGGTTTTTGGACCTCAGGCTAAGCAGATTGATGTATACAGGAGTGTTGTGTGTCCCATTTTGGATGAAGTTATTATGGGCTACAACTGTACCGTGTTTGCGTAAGTAAGCCAGTAATGATTATTAGGGAATTTTATTTGAATTTCAGTTTCTTGTTTACATTTTTATTTTTGCTCTCACAGTTATGGCCAAACTGGTACTGGTAAGACCTTCACAATGGAAGGGGAGCGGTCACCCAATGAGGAATATACTTGGGAAGAGGTATATTTTCTCTCCAGAGATTTCTCTTGCCTATACTAGTTCAAAGTTGGAAACTACAGAAAGCTAAAGAAAACTGAGAGTTGATGTCCTTCAAATCCTGAAGCTGACTTTCCTTAACTGTTTGTAGATTAAAAAGTGGTCTCACTCATTCAAGTGAAAAGCAAAACTTTACGTCTTTAATGTATTGCATACAACTCTTGGCAATTTTTATATGGAAGATCATCTTTGTCCAAAGTATTCTTGCTTATATCCAATCAGGCTGTTTAGCAGAAACTCCACCCCGTAACCCCAAGTACCTTTATAAATTAAATGCTTCTTTTTAATTTCTAGGATCCACTGGCAGGTATAATACCCCGCACATTGCATCAAATATTTGAAAAACTCACAGAGAATGGTACTGAATTTTCGGTGAAAGTCTCTCTTTTGGAGATCTATAATGAGGAGCTTTTTGATCTTCTGAATCCTACTCCTGATGTTGGAGAAAGACTGCAGATGTTTGATGACCCTCGAAACAGGGTTAGTCCTTTCAAAATTTGTTATCTTAAGGCTTTCAGGATTGCTGAGAGATGTATAATAAGTATGTATTACTTCCTGACAGAGGGGTGTAATTATTAAAGGCTTAGAAGAAGTAACTGTACACAACAAAAATCAAGTCTACCAAATCCTGGAAAGGGGTGCAGCAAAGAGAACAACTGCAGCTACTTACATGAATGCATATTCCAGGTACAGATCTTCCTCATTTCAGAAACTGTATTTTGTTCTTTATTAAAGAGGATCTTACTGAAGAAGTAAAAGATGATTGGAGCTGGTCCAAACCTGGCATGGTCTTGAGATTGTGTATTGCGGGGCAGACTGTCAAATGTTCGTTAGAAAGCCAGAGCTAAAACTTCCTCCTTGTGGCATCCAGTGAGGTGATTGTAATCGGTGTATGAAGAGAGATCGTGGTTTAACCCCAGCCAGCAGCCAAGCATCACACAGCTACCTCCACCTGCAGGATGAGGGAATGAATTGGAAGGGTAGAGGTTGGAAAACTCATGAGTTGAGATAAAACCAGTTTAATAGGGAAGGCAAAAGCTACCTACACCAGCAAAGCAAGGAATTAATTCAGTGCTTCCCACGGGCAGGCAGGTGTTTAGCCATCTTCAGGAGAGCAAGGCCCTGTCACGTGTGATGGTTACTTGGGAACACAAACGCCACCACTCCAGACCTCCACTCCCCCTTTCTCCTTCTTACCCCTGCTTTATACACTGAGCATGATGCCATATGGTCTGGAATATCCCTTTGGTCAGCTGAGGTCAGCTGTCCTGGCTGTGTCTCCTCTCAACCTCCCATGCACTCCCAGCCTCCTCACCAGCATGGCAGCAGGAAAAGGCCTTGGCTTTGTGTAAGACCCACTCAGCAATAACAAAACCCTCTCTATGTTCCACAAATCCAAAGCGCAGCCCCATACCAGCCACTGTGAAGAAAATTATATCTACCCCAGCCAAAACCAGTACAAAGAGCATTATAAAATCTGAATACTTCTCATCTTAAAAACAGGCAAGATATTTCTCCCTGTGTGATTTTTAGCATAAGCTCCCCCTCTTGCTTAGAGTTTGCATGCTTTGTTATTAACATATCCCTTGTAAATACAGTGGCTATTTCATACAGTAGCCCTGCTATTCCACCTAATCCTAGCTCTGATAAAAGTATCACAACATTCTTAACTAGACATCTAGTTATTTCTCAAAGTTGCAAAGTCAACTTTTTCAAAGCCTTCTGTGACTATAAAAACAGAAGACATAAATCTGACTGATAAATCACTGAAGTACATTGCATGTACTAGGGTGAGATAAATATTCTTTGCAGTATATACTGTGCATTTTCAATAGGGCTATAGTCCTTTCATGTTTGGAAGATGTTTAGTTGATATACCTGTATTGGAGAGGTGGGTTACCTTTGTTCTAGCTCTTTTAGATGGTTGGGTGTTTCGACCAATCCCGTTTACTAAATAAAAGCTTGGTATAAGCGTCTCAAATACCCTCTTCTTTCCTCATCAGCAGTAGAAAATGGTACATTAGGATTTGTTACAGAAGTTGCAATTTCAAAAAACTGCTAAGATCTGCTTTTTACAAGGTAACACAAGATCCTCATTTCAAATCCTGGCTTCTGAAAACTTGCAAAACTAGACTGTGGAAGTTGGGGATAAGGTTGAGGAGAGGGTTTTGTATAGTAATAGAGGCTATTTCATAGGATTGCAGGTCATAGTCAGAATCTAGTAGAGACATCTGGGTCTAAAATAGTATTTCTTATTGCTACTTTTGCATTCTTGAACTGCAGATAGGATATGTATATCACTGTAATGATCCCATATTGCAAAAGTAAGCAATGCACCCTGCCTGTTTTGTATTTTAAATTAAAGGTTTACTGAGCATATCTGTCTACTGGTGGAAGGGAAAAAGTATTTTCTAATATAGATTAGAACACAAAACTAATTTTGTCTGAAATTGCAGGCAATTTAGATAATTCATTCTACCTCAAATGTTGTTTTATATATAGTTTAACTGATGTAAACCATCTGTGGCTTTCTGTGTATGTCAGCTTACTATTGTAAAAACTTATTAAAGGAATAAACTCAACCTAAAATCATCTTTACTGTGAGGGTGGTGGAATGCTGGAACATGTTGCCCAGAAAAATTGTGGATGCCCCATCCTCAGAAGTGTTCAGGGCTATGTTGGATGAGGCTTTGAGCAACCTGCTGTAGTGGAAGATGTCCTTGCCCATGATAGGGGTGTTGGAGCTGGATGAAACCATTCAGTGATCCTATGGTCCTAAACTGACCTGAATGAAAAATGAATTTAATTTCTAAATTTTTAATATTGGGTTCAGCTACTTGATTATTTTCATAGCCTGAACAAAGAAAACTCTTCCTGAAGATCACATCCTATCAAATTGCTCTTAGCATACATATTGACTAAACTGACTTATAGATTTTTGTTTTTCTGTGAGATGCGTGTGAGTTGAGAACGCACAAATGTAAACAAAACCAAAACATTTCTCTTGATTTTGCTTGAAATAAGATAAAATGTATCAAGATTGAATGAGTCAAGTGTCATCCACTTGCTTCATCACTGGTTTTAAATACCATATTCCTATGTATACACACAAAGTATACTTGGTAAAATAACTATGTATTGAAAATGTGTAATTTGCAGTTGATAGGCTAAAAATGTATTCCCTAAAAAGAGCACAGATACATGACTTGCAGTAGTGTCATGTAGCAGGTAGATAATTTGGCTTTAATGGAACATCTGAAACTGGTTTCTCTTGCAGCCGCTCCCACTCAGTGTTTTCAATTACCATCCATATGAAAGAAACAACAATAGATGGAGAAGAACTTGTTAAAATTGGAAAGCTAAACTTGGTAAGTATTTGAACTAAGTGGTGTTGATAGCATTCTGAAAGTCGTGAACTAGAGTTTGAGGTTTTTTCTGATAAGGGGAAAAATGATTGTTTTCGTAATGTGATATGAGCTACATTTGTCACTCTGAAGAATGTCAGTCCCGTTTGTTGTCGTCGTGTCTCTTGAACAACTCTCCTGCTATTTTAGGTGTTCTGCAACACCTTGGGGCAGGCATTCTTCAGGGTGGTTTGAGATAGAAACATAACCTTATTTTCAGGTTGATCTCGCAGGAAGTGAAAACATCGGTCGATCTGGGGCAGTTGACAAAAGAGCTCGTGAAGCTGGGAATATCAACCAGTCCCTCCTGACACTAGGAAGAGTTATTACTGCTCTAGTAGAAAGAGCCCCACATATTCCATACAGGGAATCTAAACTCACAAGAATCCTTCAAGACTCTCTTGGAGGACGGACAAAAACATCAATAATTGCCACAGTTTCTCCTGCATCTGTAAATCTTGAGGTAAATTTTAAGTCTGAAAATCTAGTCCTAAAATAAATAACACATTTTGCTAATGATAAAAAATATGAGTTAAATTCCTCAGCTTGACCTCGTCTTACATCTATTTTTCACAGGAAACATTGAGTACACTGGAATATGCCCACAGAGCAAAGAACATAATGAACAAACCTGAAGTCAATCAGAAGCTAACGAGGAAAGCTCTTATTAAGGTACTAGACATGCAACTTAGCAAATGAAGTTATGGGTTATGTTTGATTTTGTTAATGTAGTCTTTGCTGTGCAGGAATTATGAGGGTGTGGAGAAGCTGTAACAGTAGCAGTGCTTTTCTGAAGTGATTCGAATCATTGAACTGGTGCTTTTAAACTAGAGCTGCTCTACTGGTACAGGATTAGTCACTTTGCAGATACTGAAACTGTCGCTAAGACTGAAGTTGAAAAGAGAGGGTTGTTGCTTACTGCCTGTGGCTCTGTGTGGGGATTACATGTTTACAAGTTATTGGAGAGCCACTAAATGACACTGTTTTTCTTTCTGGAGTTGTATTAGCAGGGTCAATCCTTAGAAAGTCCTTTAATTAAAGTGAACTTGTCAGTAAGTTTGAGTGAAGAGCCAATGTAAAGTAGGTCTCTGTTACAAAGGAAGTTGTGATTCCAATTGTAGGCTGCGAGATGCAAACAAGTATGATTCAAATGGAAGGTTCCAATACATATATCCAATAGTATGATTTTTAAATGGTACTGTACTGAACTTAGAACAGAATGAAGTGCTTTGCTCCCATGCTGTCGTGGTTTTGCCCCCCAGCCCATCCCTGGGGCTGAGGATGGTTTTGTCCAGGTGATTTCCGGACAAAAAAAACAATCAAAAAGTTCAGTGACGCCTTCGCTAATTACATCTTTAAGAAAACGGAAGAGAAGGTTGTTGCGCAGTTGAAATTAGGAACAGCAGCCATGTAGGAGAGACGCGGTGGGCCCGAAGAGGGCCAAGGCCCCCTCCTCCCCCGGCTTGGGCCGGGGAGGGGGGCAGGTGTAGTACTGAAGCCTCCTTTCTCTTCTGTAAAAGAGTGAAGAAAAAAAAAGGTTTAAAAGACGAACTGCTTAGATGAGAAACCGCTGCAGAAGAATTCCAGCCATGAGATAACAAGACTTTCAAGGTCAAAGCTGCAGTCGCAGAAGAGAGAAGAAAAGTTCGAAGGGGGGAGAACTGGTTTTTTCTCCCTTCCGCTCTCCCTCCCTTCAACAGGGTAAAGACTGAAAAATAAAAACCCTGCCACCTGTAGAAGTTTGTTGGAGTGAAGAGACCCCCCATGCGGCTCACAGAGGAGCTTGTGGATGCACCAGAGATTTGTGACTTTAACAGAGAAAGCCTTATGCTGGAGTAAAAGCGGCTCAGATGAGGCAGAGTCCTGTTAAAGACTTTGTGACCCTCGAAGGGATCGATGCTTATGTTGGAGCGAGACGGCTCAGATAAGCTTGGGATCTCAGTAAGAGATCCATGCTGCTGCTGTTGAAGATTTATGACCCTGACGGGTATTAGAACCTACGCTGGAACACAAAACGGTTCAGGTAGGGATGTTGGGATCCATGTGTGGGATCCGTGCTGCTGGTGCTAGAGAGAACTTACGCTGGAGCAGAAAATGGCTCAGGTGGGATATTGGGATCCGAGTAAGGGATCCAGACTAGACCCATGCCAAGAAGTCTATAAAAGACTGTTCTCCCATGGGGAGGGACCTCCATAGGGAAACAGGGGTGAACTCTTAAACCATTATCCCCTGTAACTCTGTGGAAGAAGATCCATAGTAAGCAAGTGTCCCCTTGCAAGTCTATGGAAGGAGACCCTTCAGGACCTGGGTAACCCTCAGCCTTCGGTTTTAACCCAGGAGGGGGGTAGGCCCAGCCCTGGAGGCCAACACAGAATGAGAGAGAGATAAAGAAATTCCAACTGCGACGAAAGTGCTGCAGAGTTACTGGAGAGAGAGAGCTGGAATTCTGAGAACAGAAAAGGACTGCTTCTCCTCCTTGGACTGATATAAGGGAAGTGGGGGGAGAAGTATCTTCTGTAAATACCTAATACCTTTTACTTAAGTAAAATTATTGTAGATATAATTCTTTAGTTTTAGTTTAATAATAATAATAAATACTCATACCTTTTTTCAATTTAGTCTCTTTTTGTCTGCATAAACCTTCTCTCAACTAGTAGTAATTGTATGTGGGGGTATAAAAGTAAATTGAGCCAGGGCAAAACCACGACACATGCTTATGCAAAACTGCTGTAGAACACTACCTTTGTGAAGTATCTGTTAAGCTAAATATCAGAACCAAAATAGACATTTTCATGTTTACGTGGGATTGTTTTTTTTATACAGGAATACACTGAAGAGATTGAGCGTCTGAAGCGAGACCTTGTTGCTGCACGAGAGAAAAGTGGAGTCTATATTTCTCTTGAAAATTATGAGTATGTCTTCAAAATTTCTATAAAATGACTAGCAACAGATCTCAGATGCTGGTACAGAAATCCTTTCAGATCTATTTTCACACCAGAAAGTTGAAGGAAAGTCAAGAAAACTTAACTGACTGGTCAACTTGTTCTTTAGAAGTTTAATTATTACACAGATAATAGGCATTTATTTATATGTGGAATAAGTACCATATGCATAGCCAGGATGCAGATTTACACCATGCAGTCTTTCAGTGGAAGTTCATACATGAAAGCAGACTCAATATAGTTAACTTCACTTTTAAGAGGGCTAGTTTACACAGAAAGTTTACAATGGAAAATTGTTTTAAATCTTTTCTGCATTAAGTGAAAATTAGCTGCTTTTCATCTGGAAGTTAGCAGTGTAAAAACCTGTAGATAATCTTGAAATTGCCTCTTACTTGACTGATTTGTTTTAATCTTTGTTTTAGAGCCCTTAATGGAAAGCTGACTGTTCAGGAAGAGCAAATTGCAGAATATATTGACAAAATTGGTGTTATGGGGGAAGAACTGAAAAAAGTAGGTGATGTTTTTGAACTGTTACTTAAATCTGCCAAAAAAATGGAAGAAATTAATTCCTCCTTTCAAAAGGAGGAAGTAAGTCTGAGCAAAGAACAGTCAAAAGATTTTAATTTTAATTTTTTTTTTCGGTTTGGTTTGGGTTGGGTTTTTTTTGTTGTTGTTCCTAAAGTTTCACAATTAGTCAAGAGCTGAAGCTTCCTAATCCTTGAGTCAGGAAGTTGAAATAACAACATATATAAGTTTTAGGGTGCAGTATTTATTTTTTTAAAGCTGTTCTCATGTTACTTTGCTTTGCTGGATTTTCAGCTAAAAATCTGCTTGTAAAATGGTATCGTCTCAGTTGACAGATACCTGCTTAGGAGCAAAGAATGAGCAGAGAGGGTCATGAGCTCCCATTAGCAAATTATACAGAAAATTGGAGCTCCTAGTAAAAGAGAAGTGTAGGTATTAATTTGCTGGAATATGTAATCAGATTTATTGACTCTCTCCAGTCTATCTGCTTATGTTTGTTCAGTGGGATTTTTTCTTTTTCCTGTAACAGTGGTTTGCTTTTGTGCTTTGAGTGGGGAAGCATGGGATTATTTCAATGAGAATGGTGTTGGGTTGACATTTTCAGTGAATACAAAGACCATACAAACCTCCAGTTTAGGTTTAAGACCTCTAACTCTTACAGCTAAAATTACATTTTACTTCTTGATATTGTTGCATAATTTGGGAGACTTGAATTCTTAAAAAGTGGTGTTGACCTACTGATGTTTGTCTTCCTCTTTAGATCACGGAACTATTCACAGTTAGTAAAAATGAACTTCAACAGTGTAAAACACATCTGCAAATCAAGGAGAAAGAGCTAGAAGAAACACAAAAAGATCTGCAAGAAACCAAGGTTCATCTGGTTGAAGAAGAATATGTGGTTTCAGTTTTGGAAAACAATGAACAAAAACTTCATGGCACAGCCAGCAAGGTTGTCATAGTTCTTGCACCTACTGTAAAACAGCTTCCTATGTTTAGGAGTTCCATGGGCTGTTCAAAGAAATCAGTTGTTGCTAGAGCATGATGCAAGTGAGACAAGCTGAATTTAAGATGGAAAACTAGGCTTAGAATGCAGGACTTTCTCTGTGGTAATATTGACAGTTGACTGCTAAACACGCTGGTTGGTCTGGGACTAACTCACTTTCAGGCCAGTTTGTCATGGGAGTTCCAGTGCTTATCATAAGTTGTTTTGCAGAATAAGTAGTTTTCTTTTGGAAACTTATGACTGGCCTACGAAACAGTAAATGACGTTATGACTGAGGAACTTGGTCTAGTGGAAGATATTCATGGAGGAGGCTTGGAACTAGATGAACTTTAAGGTCCCTTCCAAGTCATTCTTTGAACTGGAGTGGAAAAATAGCAAAGAGTTTGCATAACATTGCCCTGTCACCTCTGTATTTTAGGATATGACTTTGATCGGTCATAATTATCGAAACAGACGTGGTGTAGGGAGACAGACTGTCCTGCTATTGAAACTGCAAAGTGATGAAATTTGTATCTTTAGACAACATGACCATTTTTTCTGTTTGGATTCCTGTAAGATTGAAAGGGAATGCCTGGTTTTTTGCATGTGGGCTGTGGAATGTTTTTGTGAGACGAATGGGTAGGGAAATAATTTATGCTGACTACAAAACCAAGACTCTGCTATTTTTATGAATTCTAGATTATTTTAGAAGTAGTACCAGAAAGTACTTGCTTGAGTACTATATTAAAGAATATAGTTATTGTCAAATTGTTCAGAAAAAGTTGAAATGGCTGGGAATTTTCCAGTTACTATTCTGAGATAAATGGTACCTTAATTTCTTAAATACTGAGGATGTAATTTATTAATGCTTTGTCTTGAAATCCAGAACAAATGTTCTCTACTAAGTAACTTTTTCCCATGTTCTAAGACCATAAATGACATAACACCAAGATTCAGAACAGTTGTAATTTGATAATGTAAGGGGAAATATCTTTCTAGAGAGAGAACTTCTCTAGCTCAGAACTGTTGTTGATTTTCCTTATATAATATGTGCTTGAGTTCTTGTTTAAACACTGACTAAAATAACTTTAAAATTTATAGTTACTTAGTACAGTTGAAGAAACTACAAAAGATGTATCTGGGCTTCATGCGAAACTGGACCGTAAGGAAGCTGTTGAACAGCACAATGCTGTTGTCCAAAATACATTTGCAGTACAAATGAATGCTTTGTTCAACAAAATACAGGATTCACTTAGTGAAAACAGTTTGAAGCAGCAACAGATGTTGACATCTTACACAAATTTTATAGGTAAGTGTAATACCTGTATCAGTAAGATAGGTAAATTTTATAGGTAAGTGTAGTACCTGTATCGGTAGTCATCCTGAATTTTTGCAAAAGTAGTCTCAAAGACTGCTTCCTAAAATGGATCTGTTTTAGGAAAGTGAAAGAGGCTTTATTTGTAATGATTACAGTTGCACAATTAATAATGTATCTTGGATGATCAACAGCCTTCCTGTGCTGTGAGAGACGGGTGATGAGCAATAAAAAAAGTTCCTGTCTTACAGGGGAACTCTTAAAAAACTTGTAACTCTTCTTGATTTCTTTCATAGGTGACCTCTTGTCTACCAGTTCTTCAACAGCTGATATTCTTGCATCGGTTATGTCAGCAGCTTGTGCCTCTGTTAAAGAATTGGTTTCTACAGAAATTTCTCACATGTCTGAGAAAATAACACAGCATGAGAATCTGTCACTGGATTGTAAAGCTGAGCTGCTGAGATTAATTGTTAGTATGCTTACGTACTCTTATGCTACTTAAATATATGAAACTATTCTTGATCAAAAGGGGCTTCTGTAAATATTACATCGTTTTTCTGATGCCCTTTACCTTTATCTGCTTCAACACTTGACCATGATTATGTCCCTCCCCACTTCCTCTCCCATGTCACTATCACAAGCTGTAATGTACTGTATAGCAAATACTGTCATAACAGAGTGCATGGATATGTATATAGATAGCTTCTTGCAAATGTAGATGAAAGAAGAGCCATAATATGTTTTAATTTTTTTTTTTCTACTGCTGTTCCTAGGAGGAACATGAAACAGGTTTAGGAAGAGCGTTAAATAGCTTGACACCGGTGGTAGAATTTGTCTTGGGGTTAAACTGTCAGTTTCAGAGTAACATGAAGAAATACTCTGCTGTGGCTGACCAGGTAATGTACATAACTTCTCACTGTGTTCTTCTGTTTTATTTAATTTACAGATAACATGTTCTTTGTTTTTCTGCAGTGTGTCAGAGTATTTCCGCTTTTGGTCTGTCCTTTTCGCCTTTATCCTATGAGTTCTGCCTTTTAACTCTTCCTTTCAGACTTCTTTTTCCACTTCTGAGTGTGGTAAACTTGCTTGTTACCTATATTGGCATAACTAAATGCCTCAGTTGAATGGTAAAACACAGATGCTTAAATCTACATGTAACAAATATTTGATAATACACATAATAAAAAAAATCAACTTAGACAAGTCTTATCACTCCTATTTTTTTAGTCACTTTGATTCCTGGGGAATGTGATGCTTTAAATTGTTAACAACCTTAAGTGCAAACAATGTTGCACTTATTAAAGTCCTCTACTTTTTCCTTACTCTTTCATTTATTTTTTTTTCCATTTTGTAAAAAACCAAGTCTTTGTTTCTGGTGACTCCTTATTCTGACTGAAGAACTTTCCCCTTCTCCTTGTCTAAAGGCTTTTTATTGGTTTTCAGACTTAGGCAGCAAGTAGTCCATGGCTTACCAACTCTTTCTGTACCTTGTCTGCTTTTCTGTTTTGTCAACCTTGCATGCCAGATTTTCTGTTTTGAACAGACCACCCCAAGTTCCAGTCTCAAACTTCAGATTGCTCTAAGTGTTATTTTCTGCCTTTTATGCACAATACGTTATTAATTACTTTTGACATTGCTTGGGTTAGTTTGTTTCTATATTAGTTATGCTGGGGAAAAGTATTAATTTATTAAATAAAGGTAAATATCTAACTGTAAATTTTTTTTCAAGATGGAGGACCACAAAAGGGAAATGGATACCTTCTTTGGAGGTCTTTCTCTCACTCTGAAAAAAATACGTGAAGAAGTGGACAGTGGATTTGCTGAACTTCAGCATAATTGTGATAGCTTAAAAGAAGAAGTGGAAATGACGAGGTTGGCACATGCAAAGGTATCCTCAGAGAAAGAAGAAATTCTAACACCATGTGTTTGCTTACTTTGATTTAAACTCTTGGTAGCAATGGTACCAATATAAGTATAATGGTAGCAAACCATTATACTTATATTAGGACAATAACTTGATCTTTTCTGACAGAAACTTATTCTTTTCAGGTTTTGTTAGGCTGCTTTAAGTAGTTTGTGTAGGAAGGTAACAAAAAAGACTTCCCCTTGCTGTGAGCCTGTCTGGCATACGTGTTTACATACATCTCCAAAAGCAAAGTGTCTTTATCTTGGCTATGCAAAAATTGTACCTTCTGCTTTAGAACTGCAAAACTTTTATCTGCTGCACTTTTAATACAGGCATTCAAGTACCCTTTAAGAATGTTAAGAAGTGCAGAATAACAGTAAAATTTATGGCATTTTTCTTAATAGAGAACAGCCGAGTTCATGTCCTCACTGCAAAGCCAGCTTGACGTGTTTGCTCAGGAGACTCAGGAGAACTTAACTAATGTCCTCAGGAGAAATGGAAGCTTGAAGACCACCATCACTGCTATGCAAGAAAATGTTCACCTGTAAGGAGCAGATTATTTTTGCTGTACATTGGTGCAAGATAAAACTATACATGAAGAGAACTTCAAAATTAGATGCTCTTCATATTTATGTGCTTATAAAGTCTTTTGAACAAGGTCTGTGTGTTAGAGTTGAGTTCTGCCACAGACTGTAGATCAGTTTTCTCTGGGATCATCTTTCCCCAGAGTAAACTAACTCTGCAATGCTTTTCCTCAAACTTCTCTCCTGAGCACGTTGCAGATAAGAGACTGTCATTTGGGGAGCAATACTCTGATGAATGTCCCTCAGTGTCTGGACTTCGAGACTTCATATCATAAAAGCTTGAAGTATAATAATGTATCTATTGCAGCAGGCTTCATTCAGTTGTAGACTGAACAACTCTAAAGTCTTGCCAGTTGCTGTTTTTAGTTTGTGGTTGGGTTTTTTGTTTGGTGAGGTTTTTGTTTGGTTTTTAACAAACCTACTGATCCTACTGCAATTTATAAATTTACTAAAAAAACAACAAGGTTATAATTAACTGCTTTGATAGAATTGTACTATTTCACTGGTTCCAGTCTCAAGTATTTTTAAATGTAGATTGTGATAAAATCTACCTTTCAAAATTTCTGAACTCTTACAAATATGTTGTTGCAGGAAAACTACAGACCTAGTCAGCAGTACAAATTCCAATCATGGCAAATGTACTGCATCTCTGGATAATTTCTCTCAAGAGCTCAGGGGCATAAATGCTGAAAACAAGATGATGCTGAAAGAATCCAGTGACCACTGTCAACATCTTCTCAGCAATCTCAAGGATGTGTCTCAGGACACCAAAACCTGGTGTGAATTTACAACTGCTCAGATGGTCAGCTTTACTGATCAGCAGCTATTGTCCTTCAGTGATGAGAAACAGCAGTTTCAGTGTTTACAAAAGGTACTTACAGTAATTTGTAATCTAATGCAACATTATAAGATAAGTTTTACTGTAAAATTTGTAGGGGGAAAGAAGTTCTCAGTTACAGTCAGAAGAAAATTCTGGCTTTCTCTTTCATAGCAGACTCATGTTACTGAGCTTAGATGCAATGAGAGGAAATAAAAAGCTTAAATTAAGCAGAAGACTCTAGACTAAAAATGCAAATAACCTCAAAAAATGGTGTCTTGATTAATGCCATGCAACTAACTTGCATTTTCATCATCTTGGTAGTATATATCTCTAATCCTAAAGCTTTATCTGCCAGTAACATCTCTGGGAGATCTTCACAGGCTATATTCTGGAGGATACAAATGACTGTTGGTCAGATTGAATTAACATGGGAGAAAAGTATTCCTTTTTGGTATTTGCAAGTTCTGACCTCTTATCTGGGAATTTCTCTTAGGTTTTTGGTTTTATTCATTTCTATCACAAACTTTATTTCCCACCCTTCTTTTTTTATTGTTGTAATGTTCGGACTTGGCTCCCTGCTAAATGCCTGAACCCCCAGTAGCAGCCCCTGCCCCTTCCCCCTTCCTTCTTCCCCTGGGGCAAAGGAAAAAAACTATGCAAATTGAAGAACCCAAAAATCAAGCTAGTTATATAAAAAATATATATTTGATGTATATTACAGTTAAGATGCTATGTACACAGCAAAAAGGAATCCAAACACCCCCTGAAGGGATAGAGAAAGGGGAAAAGGAACAAAATAGGCAAATCTAGGATTTTGCTTACTCTCAGAAAGAAAAACTCAACTGGAAACTCTTTGCACAGAATCACACAGAATATTCTGAGTTGGAAGGGACCCACAAGGATCACTGAGTCCTTAACTCTTAACTGTTAAAAACATTTGCGGTCTCAAGACACTTCTGTATCTGTTGTACCTGCTGAACACTTCAGAAGTTTCATTTCAATGGGAATGGCTAAAAAATACATATTTTCCTCTTCCTCCTACAAATGCATAAGGCTTCTAGTGCTTGTAGGATGTTCACTTCCAACTGAATATCCTAATCCTGCAGGGTTGTGCATAGAAGCATGATCAGAATTAGATGGCATCATCTTTATGAGTAGCTTTCTAAAATGATCATACTTTCTAAGAAACTGACTCTCTTGTGAAGATAGCTCTCAAAATGAGTGTAGAACTGGCACTGAAACTTCTCAATTTGAGGTCTCAGTTGTTTCGTTTCAGATCATGTCACTAATCATGCACCACATCTTAGAAAAGAGGCCATAATCTCACCTTTCCTGTTAACTTGGTGTTTTTAGCTGGGTTGTTTTTTTGTTTCATTTTCAGAAAAGTGAAGAACACTGTGATAAAACAATAGCTGAAATTGCTGACCGTAGTAGTAAACAAGTGGCTGCTGAGGGGAAGGTACTCAATGGCTTTCTTGATCAGATAAAGGTGGATAAAGAGATACTTCTGGAGCAGAAGCTGGCACTTAGCAACAAAGTACAGCATGGACTAACTCAGGTTAATGGTTTCCTGCAAGAGGATCTGAAAGTGGATATTCCAACAGGTATTTAAATAGGTCAGGGACAGAAGGTCTTGCAGAAAGCAATTTGAGTTTCAGAATCTGTAAGTGAATGTTAATGGGGACATAATATAACTGGCAGCCTTAGACCTTTTCTTAAAATGTATGCCAAGAACGGTGACTGAACAAAGCATGATTTCTGTATTGAGTTAATGTAAAATTGGGGATATGAAATTAAAGCAAATGCTGAAAGCATTTAATAGTGTACACTGATGAAAGACAATCTTCATTAAAGGGACAACTCCACAGAGAAGAGACTACTCCTATCCAGTCACACTCGTTAGAACAGAGCCACGGGAACTTCTGCTGGAGCAATTAAGGCAAAAGCAATGTAAGCTTGATGCTATGCTAAGCAGCATGACAGAGGAGGTGGAGGATAACGCAGGTCAGGTATGTATATGAACAGCAAATGAGGCTCTTGAATGAAGGTTTCACATCTTCAGAGGTTTTAATGCCGTTGTGGAGAGTTGACAAGAATCCCAGAGCTGTTGCAGCCTTTGTTTTACAGTGTACTTGGAGTCAAGTATGCTGAGCTTTCGATAAAAACATTCTCGTATTGAAAAATAAGCAATAATATTAATAATTTACTTTTATTTCTGTTTTTAAAAGATGGAAGTTCTATGTCTTTTATAGATCTGATTATGCTTAGTACATGAAGAAATTCAGACATCAAATACACTTTTCTGAAAAACTTTTGTTTTAGGACCTGTTGGAAGAGGAGGGAGGGTTGGAAGAACCCAATGAAAGCCTTGCTAGCGACAAATGCTTAGTGGATACAAACGTATATTGCCACACAAATGGTGGCATTCCTTTTTTCCAGGTAAATTCCACAGATATTTGAAACGGCTGTTTATTTAAGAGTGAAGAAAAATTATTTTCCATAATAATGCTGTAGTTTCAATTCACTTCTTATAACTTAGTGTAGTACCACAGCTTCTTTAGCAAAGTGTATTCTACAGGATTTAAACTTGAGCTAAAGTCACAGCAAATTCTAACAGCAGTTAATACTGGATGAAATAATGCAAATTTCTGACAAGCTGGACAGACAGTTGAAAATTCATCAAATAATCCTGCATGAAAAAAGTTGTCGTAACTTGCTAGACAAACACTTGATGGAAAGGTTGAAATTATGTGGAGGGTTTTTTGGTTTTTTACTTGCTTCTGACCCTTTGCTCTACCAATGTGTCAGTGTATACTCCTTGGTATATTTGTCTAGGGCTTGGCTTGCTGGGGTTTTCTTGTTGCAGATCCTTTAAAAGCAGCTACTGAGCGTCTGTGGGTCTGCAGTAAATCTCTTTAGTAAATGCAATATATTAGGAACCTTTTTCAGGAGTCCTACCAACTTTTTTTTCTCACAACACTATGTACTGCACCGTACATGAGCAACAAGTCTTCTTTGTGTTTCTCATAACATTGGGTGTTCTTTTTAAATCCCAGCAGAGAAGTCGTCGCAAAAAGGGTAAAGAGAACAAATCTGCAGCTACTGTGGAGAACAAAATGGAGGACATGACAGAAGAGCTTCTTCACGAATCCAAACATCCTTTAAGATTGCTGAACTAAGATATATCTGTTGCAAATCCCTGTTTTTGAAAAATTTCTATCTCATTATCTTACTGAGCCATAATGTTTTTGGTTATTCTTGGTCTCTCTTTATTGTGATGTATTAATGCAAAATTGAATCAAAAGATTGACCTGCTCGATGTCGTGCCTTTGTCCCATTTTTATATGCTATGCTGGTAGCTTGCAAAATATTAAGGGAAAAAAACCCTGCATTATGGTGCTGTTATGTTTAAATATACTTCTGTGTTGCAAGTAAGATATCATTTTCTGTTTCTCAGATTTAAAACACCAGAAAGGGATGTTGAAATATGGTTTGTCAGCATTATCAGCTACCATTTTATATAAGAATTACCTGTAAATAAGTGTTCTAGTTTTGTACCTGCTTTTTAATCCGGTTGCTCTCTTTAAGTTTGATACTTCAAATAAATTTTGACATATGGAAAACAGATGTATAAACACCTCAGTGAAACAAACTTACCTGACTTTCTTATATTGCCATAATATAAGAATAATATATTTAATTTAACTAAAACATTAGCAACTCTGCCTTAAATTTTGTGCTGTCAGAAAAGGATGGTTTTCTCCCTTGTTTTGTAATAGACACTAGCTTCATTTCAGTGCCTCTTCACTCTGCAAGTGGAGGGGTTTGTTTGTTTGTTTGTTTGAACCCCACTGTTCTTATCTTTCTCTTAACCTGCAGCTGTGAGGTATTGGCTGGGGGGGGGTACAATGTCAACCAGAGCTTGTGTATCATAGTCTGGCAGCATTTAATTTGAGATCTAGATGCTGAACATTAAAATATGCAAGCTTGCTTACAAATGCAGCTTCTGTGTTGTATAATAACAAGGCATTCCACTAATTGACAACATCAGCTTGACCAGTTGCTCTTTTCATGTTCCTTACATGAAAATTTCAAGCTACAAAGAAGTAGATGAATAGGATTATGATGGGAATAGGGAGAGATGCTTGAAGGCAACTATTATTTACATTGAAGCACTATTCTTAGGTAACGGTCCAAACGTGATTTAAGAGATTGTTCACTTTTCTAGATCCAGCTTGCAGGCTTAACTTGATTGCAGGCTGAAGTTTCTTCAAATAGGTGGTCCATGTATTTATTTGTCGGTGAGAAAGTATACCCTGGACACTGCAGTCCTAGTGCTAGAGAGAGACATGATTTCAAGTATATCCTTCTGCTGATTCTCTGAACTCTAGCATGAGAGACACCATTAATCACTTGTGTTTCCCTGGAACACCTATCTCACCTCTTATTTATCCTCTCTTTTGCTGCTGTGGGCAAAGCTAATTGCTTTCTGACAGCCCAGTGGGAGGAAAAACATTAATTCCCTCTCAAATGCATAAGAAACACAAATATGGTTTTCTTTTAAGGTTTGATGGGGAGGAAGAGTTATATCATCTTAGTACTCGTATAACAAATTTGCTTGCTGTAAGGGGCTTGAAACACTGGAGGCTGGGGGATTGTCTCTTTCAGAGCATGCTTGGTGTATTGTCAAATTCTGGCACAAAAATTTCATGGGCTTAATTCTCTGGGGCCTAGGATACATTGTCTTGCACCATGGGCCTATAAATAATTTGTTAACTAAAATTCAGCCTGAAGAGTTGACCATACAGCTGTATGGAATGGCCTGAACCAGAGGGGAGAGGCTCCTGCAAGCCTTTCACCTTGCTACACTTTACCTCTGGAGTTCACAGGATTGGTATGAACAAAGTGGAATAGTCAGTACCCGAGGAGGCTTGCTATCCCAAAATCTTGACAGATTTTGTGTTTCTTGTCTTTATCCTCTTTGAAACTGTCTCTTCTATGTTGGGTGTTTGGTTCCCCCTCATACAGGCACAAGCTCCTCTTTTTAACAGCTATAGAATTTTGGAGGCTGCTTGCTTACTTTCTCTTTTTCTAAAGCAGCCCTCAGCGTCCTGTTGTCTTTTGTTTGCAGTACTGGCAATGATCTGTCGATCATTGTTTCATTGGCCTAGGTATCCAGAGGTCACACCAGAAAGCCAAGTCGGATGAAAAATCCGTATGCAGAACGTGTCCCAGCCTCTCTGTCCATGCCTCCTCTCCCACTAGATGGCCCTAACACTAAAGGTTGGTCCAAGCTCAGGTACTGCCTGCTAACCAGGACTTGGAAATAAGGATTTTTCTAAGCTTTCTGTGAAGCATCTGTTGAAGAACATGTTTCAAAAAATAATATCGAATTTACGCTTCCACATGGAGAATTCCATATTCAGGCTTTGGTAAGGGGTCTTATGAAGAGCTGTGCTTGTGAAAAAGAGGATCCAGTGTATGTCTTGAGCTTTGCTGCAGGGCCAGTAGACATTCTTGGTAACTAAATTCTTGGCCTGGCCTGGTTTCCGGGTTCCCCATCATGTGGGCATTGCTCAAAGCAGAAAGCAATGCCTGCTCGTTTTGGTCTGTTGTACAATATATGATAGAAAAGGAGCTTAGGAAAAATAAAGCAAAAACTGTTTCTTGTATGCAGTCAGTGGAATTGCAGCCTAATCCAGAGGTGGAAAGTGGCACAGTCCAGCCTAGTGTACATGGTGGGTTTGATTTTATCCTGGTGTAAGGCATCCTTTACAAGAACAGTGTGAAGCCATTTCCACTGAGTAATAAGCAAGGTCTAATTCCTGACTGACTTAATCTAGCTGAGCATGAAGGGAGAGTTGTAGTGACTGGGGCTATAGCATATGACTATGTTCTGATTAACCTGATGGGTGTTTTTTTGGATTCTAAATAAGTGCCAAGTGAGACAGCTCTTGATTTAACCAAAAACTTACATAGAATGAATGCAATGTGGGGAAATGAAATAAGGAAAAGTATGTTTTAAGTGCATGTAAAGGGGGAAATGCTGAGAGAGCAATAAGAGGGCCACAAGAAGCACAGATAATTAAAGTCACCAGCTTGCTTCTCAAGTGAAAAAATGAGCAGTCTGGAGGAAATGAAAGAAAGGAAACTTCCTGCTTCCTCCTGGAAACTGGGGAGCTGGGGCACTTGCTGCATCAGAGTTGTTGGGGGCTGCAATGTTTATTTGAAGAGAGAGGAAGACTTAGCTGGCTGGCTGCTATTGATGGCTGCCTTTTATTTTGGGTATCAAACAATTGCATGAGGCTGCAGAGGGGTGAGGAGAAGGTGCATAGTTGCTAGACTGCTTTTCTTTTTCCTGTTAGGTGTCAGTCACCATTGCAATTAGCTGTTAAATGGGCAGAGGAAACAAGAGGAAGCCTTTAACTCTTTGGAGTGATAAAAGAAAAAATAAAGCTAGAAAGAGCTGGAAAAATAAAGTTTAACGTTCCTTTTCCATGAAAAAGAGATTAGAGGGGAAAAAAGGAAGGGTTAAAGTTTGAGAGCATTAAAACCAGGAAAATAAATATACTTATTAACTATGTATATTAAGAGTTATACATTTTAAACAAGTGTTTACATCCACTTGACTACTATTTTTTTTCTTTCCCTGTTGCTAACTACTTTTTATGACAGAGGGCAATGTTCTTTAAACTGTACGCCCACCCATGCAGTTACTTTATAGTTAAATAACAATAAATCATGCTCGGCCTTGCATTAGTAGGCTTTAAGTGACATGGTACTATAGGTGAGATGTAGACCACCTAGCAAAGCAGGCTGTCCTTGTAGGTTGAACACAAATTCCATCTACAGCAGTATTGCTACCTAGCTCAGTCTTGAAAATGCTAAAAGTACGAGCACAGTGACTGCAGCAAAGGGAATGTTTAAATCCCTACATCCAGAATACTTCTCAAATCATCTTTGGCTCGCTAGAAAAGGGTCTAGCTAACAAAAGGAGTGCACACCTTACAGCTGCACAAGTGCTCTTCAGACAGATAAAAAGGGGCAAATGCTTGGTCTATCAGTCCCTCATCAGGGAAGAAGTTAGAAACAGGCTGCCATTTTTTACATGAGGTCTGAAAACTGTTCCATATTTCCAGCTTTCTAAAACTTTGAAACAATTCAGTTTCCAGGTGGTGCAAAGTTAAATTTTGTAAAATAATGGAGATTAACTGGATTGCTTTCTCTTTCTCCAAAATAATAAACATATATAAATATTCCCTTGACTACCTTAGTTATACTAAAATGCTTTTGTGACTCTTGCTCTATTCCTAACTTAAACATTGTAATTCAAAGAATGAGGCACAATGACTAAAACTTTGAACTTGCCTAGGGCATTTCCTTTATTAAAAATTATCAAGTAAAGGGATGAAATAAGCAAAAATATCGCATAAAAGTACATTAGATTCCTTCAGATCTTTCCAGTTCTTGTTGACATACATATAGTTTTTATTATAATTTTATTCTGACAATTTCCAGAGCACTAAAGCTACTCTGTGAAGATTTTTTTCTTGTGACAAAGAATTGTATTTTCATTGGTAGAGGTTAATTTAAAAAAAAGATTTTTTTTTTCCTAATTAACAAAATTGTTGAAAGTGAAAAATAACAATTAGCACAAAAGAGTATCTGCTCTTTTACCATTTTTAAAACAAAATAAATACATGGTAAGACAATTCCCTTCCTCCTCATCCATTAAAGTAATAATATTGAATGCTGTTTCTCTGAGAACTGATTTCCCCACTGTGCAAGTCCAGTCTTTCTAATTCTGCTACAGTCACTTGATTTATAGTAGAGTAGTAAGGTGAAGGATCATAATCTCCATTTTCCAAAGTACACACTGAGTTGACAATGATGCTTAAAAAACCAAAGAACAATTTAAGGCCTTGTTTGGTCTCTATGGCCAAAAGATATCAAGGTATTTGGAAGGGTTTGCCTGGAAGTTTTTTCATCCCTCATTCTATATGTTCTTTCACAGGTTCTTCAAGCATACCTGCCTCCCCTGCTTTGTTAAAATGACTTTGGGATCTTTCAGAATAGGCAGGATATTATTCTGCTGTTAAAAGATCCAGTGTCAGTTGAAGCTGGCACTGACTGCAGTGGCCACTGTATAATGGCAGTGTCCTTAGGCAGAGTGTGTTTCACAGAAGGAGGAACTTTTTAAATCTCCAGTGGCACAGATGACACAGATATCCCCTGTCTTCTGGTACATCGTGCTGAATCCGAGCACCACTGCTCCCACGTTGAAAGTAAAAACTTGTAAATGCGTTTCTAAGGGAATAAATTGCAATCTGAGGGGGGAAGGGGGTTGGGGTTGGATTTTTTTTGTTGTGGGAGGTTTTTTTTCCTTTGGGCTTTTTTGATGATTTTGTTTTGTTTTGTTTTGTTTTGTTTTTTGACACAGAAGAGATTAAGTAACCCCTGTTATATACAGATTGTTTAGGCAAAGTGGTTTTTCACATTTCAATTAGTTTCCCCTAACACTCAAACTAAAACCTAAGCAACATTGTCATTATGTTCAGAAGGCAAAGGAAACAAACACGTGAATTACTTATCATTTGTTATAGCCACCATTTTCTATCACTTAATTAAAATATGACATTAATTTCAAAACCATTCAGCTATAGATACATATTTAAGTGGTTATAATACAATAATGATAGGCGCCAAAATTTGGTTCATTTGCTCTAACAGTTTATTTTAGGAAACTCAGTCCAGCAGGATGAACCTTGAATATACAGATTAATGCAAGAAAGGAAATTTTATGATGTCTGTTAGTTAATATAGAAGCCAATCTTATTAATCATGGATTTACAGAGGGCTGTTTTATTAGATGTTAACCATAGCTTATGTTGACAATTGATTTTCATTGTAGGACAACTAAATTTATTATTTGTAAAAAGATAAAGATAATTAAATTGACTTTATAAAGGTTGCTATCATAAATGTTAGTACCTGTGAATAGCAAACATAAAACTACCTTAGCAGCAAAAATTCATTTAAGTGATAGATGCGTTCTTTCCATTACATTTAATAGTCCTTGAACATTTTTAGCCTCCATTTTATTTTCCACAGTTAACACCACAGTGAGAAACTGTTTGGGTTGAAGCCTCACTTTCCGTTTATTTTCTTTAAAATAAACCAGGATCAAAATATTTTTAAAGCTATTCAAGTAAAACAAAACAAAATAAAGCATTAAATACAAATGTATTATGCAATGGAGTTTTGTCCTGACATTTCTCCTGTTTGTCATTAAATTATTCAGACTATGTTGAAAAATATGTTAGATCTACAATAAAATCTGACACCTAGGGAGTTTTACTAATTAAAAAGAGTAATTATTAAGGAAGTTATTTTGGACCTCGCAAAAATGAGAATACGTGTAACATATTTAATCTTT